CCATCTTGAGCCCAGTTTTGCCACATTAAAGCATGCCGAACAAGATATTAGCCGCTGCTGTTTGCAATGCACTCATGGATGTGCAGAGAACTATCACTGGATCACTCTGATCCTGAAGCTTTAAGGAGCGTCATGGACTACAATGATCAGATGTGACTCAAATGAGGCGTTCAAATGTTGATGCAAATTGCAGCTCACATCTCTATATGCACCAACAAACAACACCCCCCCCACACACACACACACACACACACCTGCTCTAGATCACACAAATGCCAAAAAGAAAAAGTCGGTCAACGTGCTAAAATCATTCCCCTTGATTTAAGAGCAGCGTTATCAGTATGCTCACAAGATAAGTCTCTAATACAACATTGATGCATCAATATATTGGTCAGGCCTAAGTGTGTGTGTGTGTGTGTGTTTTCTTTGCTGCCCTGGTGTGTTAAGTGGCAGCAGAGCAGCCTGGAGCTGATAGATAACAGTCAGCGGTGGGGGGGGCTGGTAGTTTGTGTGTGTGTGTGTGGGGGGAGAAATGGTTCTCAGCTGCTGGCACCGTGCCAGAGGACTGCTGAGAGATCCATCACCACGTTTCTGGCCCAAACTGTGATCAGTGCAACCAGGACGGGTCCGGTCCTGTAAGGGTTAAATGTGTCTGAAACACCATCTGCACATTCTGCATGTGCGGATGACAACTGTGATGACTGCAAGTGAATTCATATAACTAGTAGAGAGGTAAACAGGCCCATCTCCACACACACACACACACACACACACACACACACACACACACACACACAGGGTGGAGGAGAACATCCAGTAAGAAACAACTACAAAACACCAACAACAAGTTCTGAATCATACTGTCCCAGAAAATAACTGAAGAAATTAACTTTTTATTTGCCAGAACATTCTGTTACGTTGTGCTAATGATGTCAGATATACTGACTCTCAGCCCAAGGCCACAACTACAGTCAGCAGCTCTTCAGGGACAAATTCATCCTCCAAGAAGTGGCCCTTTGAGTCACTGGCCCCTCTGCTCTTGGTTTAGCACTTCAACTACCAACAATTACTATAAATGCTCACATATTTTGAATTCATGTACGATTGCAAACTTAAAAAATGCACAAAATCTGATCTAGATCAGAATCGTCCGCTTTGAATTTCAATCTGCATCTTTTTCAGTGAGAATCTA